CACATCTCTAATATTTTATATTAATCATATTAAATAAAATTATCAACACCAAATAATAATTATTTTATTAATGTTGGAAATGAAATACAAAATTTAAAATTAGCACAAAAATGAAATTGTTATCCTATAACAATTCAACCTTGGTGTCAAATGTGTTAACCCTTGATGTTAGAATTAAATAAGAAAAAATTAAATAAAAGATGAAACATGTAAAATGAAAAAATAAATAAATTTACAAATATTTTATTTAATCATATTAAATAAAAATAAATGTAATAACCAATAATTGTTTTTTTATGATCATGAAAATGATATACAAAATATAATGTTGACCCAAAAATTAAATCGTTTTCCTATTTGGTAGAGTGTCATCAATTTAACCTTTTGAAACAAATGTTTCAACCCTTTATATCATAATTAAATAATAAAAATATAAAAACATAAAAAAGCAAAAAAAAAGTACACAAAATGCAGATATTTTATAGAAAAAATTTGGCACATATCTAATATTATGCGTTCATCATATCAAACAAAAAAAATATAGAAAATTGATGATAATATTTTATTAAACATATTAACGAAAAAGTGAGATAAAAAAGATTTGTTTTATTGATGATGATAATGAAATACAAAATTCAAAACTAGCCCGAGTGAAATTGTTCTAGTGTTTAGTAGTAGGACAATAGTTCAGCCCTCTAGGCTGCATTTGTTTCTGGTGCAAAAAAAAAAAAAGCACCTTTCAAAAATTCACTTTGACTGGTTTATGAATACAAACTGGTTTAATGTTGCACCAAGAAATTATATATTTCAACCAAACGGTTTTTGGTTGTAATGATTACAAACACAGGTTCCAAAACCAAAATCCACCTTTTTTTTACATTAACCAACTATGAGTGCAAAGTTCTTATACAAAAATTTGATACAAACTTTGTATCAATTGTGAGTACAAACATGTTTTGGAAGTTGTAATAATTGTCATTATTAGTATACAAATGTATGCTTACCAAAATGCTTGCAAAACTGAACTAGAATACATTTATGTATTGAATCGGCATTTACACTACAAACAAATGTAATCTTAAGTGCAAATATGTTAACCCTTGGTTTCATAATTAAATAATAAAAATGACAAGAAAAGATAGAAATACAAAAAAGTTACACAATGAATAAATTTTGTAGAAATCATTTCAGTGCATCTCTAATATCATATATTCATCGTATTAAACAAGAATAATGATGATAAATAAGAATCATTTTTATACACAAAAATATAAAAAATTTGAGAAATTTGAAAATATATCATTGCTATCTGATGAAGGGAAATTTGGCCCGGCCTCGTGATCGCCCGACACGTGGCAAAGGCAAGCAGCTCGGGACAGTAGAGCACCCAAAGCAAGCATCGGAAGCAAGTCCAAACTCACTACCGAGCCCGAACTCCAGACCGCTGTACTTAGTCCGAGCTCTTTGTTATGAGCGAGCTCCCT